TTTTCCCAACCAATGAGAAATCTTTACTAAAAACAACAACCGATCATATTTCAAGGCTTGTTTAAAGTCACCAATCAAAGTAGAGGAAAATGGAGACAACTTTTGCAAATTTTTACAAACCAGCTCAGCACTGGTTCGATAAAATATTTGTACAGATTAAAAAAATCCTGTATTTGAGGAACCGAAGTTTGCGATATTAAAATCGATGTGATATAGTGGTAATGAATCTTTGAGTGGTGTAATTTTGGACTAAAATCATACTTGTGATTTTAAGTCAAACTCGCACTGCACACTCTATTGATTTTGAACTCACTCTTACGATTTGTAAAGGTAATCTCATGACTTCGAGTGCAATTTGGGATAAATCGGCACAAGTAAATTCTCAAAGGCTAATCAAATTATACGAGCCCGTAGGACGAGTGCAATTTGTAGTTTTGAAAAATTTACGAGATTTTGATTTATCCCAAATTGCACGAGAAAAATCATGTAATTTCTAGTAAATAATATACAAGCAAAAATATGACGCTGTTTTCCCTCTCAGTTGTTTTTATTTCGTGCTAGGGTTCACCAGTTCGGCTGCTTTCCTTCGGATAGTCGCCGGAGTTGTCAGGCTTTCCCTCAAGCACTTGCTTTAAAATTTTAAAACTTTTCTCAAGAATAATTATTTGTATTCTTTCTCTATTAGGTATCAGTCGGCAGCTGTAACCATTACACGAAAGCTATCACGCTCGTTATCTTTCCCGAACTGTTGCGTAAAACCACTCGAGAATTTTACTCAGGACCTGCGGTTCATACTTTCATATCCGTTTTTGGAAGCCAGACTTTGAGTAAGTTGTTTTCTCTGTTGGGTGTTTTTGTTTTTCGCATTCTTCCTCAGACTCTGAATAAAAACGTTGTTACTTTTTCTCTCCTGTCCGCTATTTTGTTTAATTGTGCTTTCGCGACTTGTCACTCCACTCAATTTCAACTTTCTGCAGTAAATTTCAAACTTTCTGCTCTGTTGGGATTAAGTGACGTGTTCTCAGCCAATAAGCAAGCTGAAATGTTTGCATGTGCATTATTACAGACCTGATTGGTTAGGGTAAATGCAGTTTTTAGGTAATATAGGTATTTCAATGCAGGAGAGGGTTAATTCAGTGCAAAGAAGTAACAAACCAGACTGAACAATTCCTTGAACTATTTAGCCGGACTTTGAACTTTTTTAGGCTTTGAAGATGTGAAAATATCATTGAATATTACTGTTTTTTATCGTACGCAGCTGTTTTGACCGAAAGTACCATGTCACTTACATGGTTTGAATAAGTTATTTTTGCACTCGATGCGTGCTTCGCGTCTGCCTAATTATGATAAGCTATCTTATACTTTTTCTTGTATATTATTAATACGTAATCACATGATTTTTCTCGTGTAATTTGGAATAAATAAGCACTTGTAAATTTTTTCAAAGACCACAAATTTCACTCGCCCTACGGGCTCATGCAATTTTGTTAGTCTTTGAAAAAATTTAGTCGTGCTTATTTATTCCAAATTGCACTCGAGATCATGTGATTACAAATTGTACTCCACTCAGCTCAATTACCATTCTATCATGTACTTCTCACCAAATCAACATAGTTCAAAATTGTACAAAAGACAAATGATCTTCGCTCTTTCTGTAAACAAGAATCAGAGACGTTCAATCTTATATATTTTTTTCAATTTGGCATTATCAACTGAGCTGATAACGTAAACTGGCCTTTCCGAGCGTTAGCCCTTCGCCATTTGCTCTGACGACGGGCTAACGCTCGAAACGTCAGCTTTGAAACTCTTAACAGTGGCCAATTTACGTTATCAACTCAGTTGATAATACCAAATTACGTTGCCATAGTCTCATACTGACGCAGCACTAAACTCTCTTTACCCCCTTCATTCAAATATCTTTCCGGTGAACCTTCTCCATTTCACCAGGGAAACCTCAAAGTACAGTTTGATTGGCTTTCCGAAACCTTCAAGTCTCGACATCGACATAATCACCCAATCAGCAGCATTGAAATTGTTGAAAAGAAATCATGACAACCTGTAATGACTATGATGGTACACCTATGCGTAGTCAATTGGCGTGAGTACGGATGTGTTTGTTGTGGTAAGGGTGTCCCTCCCTCCCTCCCTGTCTCTCACTATGTTAACAGTACAGGTACCTTTACAACTAAAGTCTATTTTTGTCCAGCCGCTGTCTTTACACTCAATATAAGGAATTCCTATCAGCTCATAACCAGCCTGACAACTGTAGTATGCAGTTTCACCGTTGAGGTATTTGCTCCGTGCACCACGTGCCAATGTAAGGTAGGCAAATTTTGGGACTGGAGGAGCATCACAACTTGGCGCTAAAAGAAAGCCAAAAGACAATCAAAAGTGTTTTGAAACTGGAAGTGCAGTTCATGCTGTACGGCAAGTACGGCAATAATATTTGCTGCCGACACGAATGTTTATATTTAAATACGGAGTTTGTTTGTCAGGAAGTTCTAAAAGACGACATGTTTTAAAGGTGGCTTCGAGAAGCGAAAGGCAATAAGAATATCAGCCACGAGGGCTCCTACTACTGAATTTTGATTTGGTTGCCTTTTGCACCTTACTACCATCATCGACAGGTGTTATCACAGTCATGGATATACTTACGCCCTTTATTTGTCGGGGAATGGTGGCTACCATGCATGCTACAAGGACCAGTGTGTCGAAACAAATTTTAACTGGTCGCCAATTGCATCAATCATAGGCATTAAGCAAATCTGGTCATGGTTGATATCGATTAACCGAGAAGTGTTGTCAAGAAAATTGAAAATATGGCTTCTGCGATATTTCGAAGTGACATCATTCGCATTTCAGACGATTTGAGCCAAATTTAAGGTCCTAATTTACCACAATGCTTTCAACGGAAGGTGACGTGCGACTGGTTTCGTTGCTCTTCTGACATTCATGTATACACTGTACCTACCGCTGCAGCGGAAATTAGCTTTTGTCCAGCGACCCTTCACACATGTTCTCCTCGGAATGCCGACCATCATAAGGCCTGCTTTACAGCTGTAGTAGATGCGTTCTCCGTCCTCATAGCGCTTGTTCTTTGCTGTCCACGTCTGGTATGCAAACGCAGGGACATCCGGAGCCTGGCTACACCGGTTCGCTGTTCAAAGAGGGAGAGGAAAACTCAGAGTAATCGATGTTTATAAATATCTGAGTAATACCTCATTCGTTTTATAAGCAAATGTCTTGAAGCCTGTGCAACGAAAAGTGAAGAGCAGGCAGTATTTTATACGAAAGTACGAAATAGCTACTTTAATTGTACACGATTAAGTGAACACAGGACATAACATCAGTAGAGAGCGGAGAAACCCAATGGATTGGTTGAGAAAGGTAAATAACGACAATGATTTACAGCAATTAGACGCTTGTTCAACAAACGACTTAGTTTCGTAAACGCAAGGGTAAATGTCGGATAAGCCGCAATAATTGTTATGACCAAGAGTCATTTGATACAACGAAGGTGAAATAGCTTTAACATGATGCCAAAACGTGAAAAACGGCTTGTCTGGCTTCTTTTTTTTTTACTTCCAAAGTATTTTGCGAATGTGAAGTAAAAAAAGATGAGGTATCAGTGAAGTATGGTGCTTAACACTAAGATTGCCATTATGATTGTGAGTTGGCCTTCAAAATTCCTTCCCAAACCAGGGTCTTAAATAATCGCGAACATGTTACACCAAATTTTTTGGAAAGTTTTAAGTGTGTTATTTTTTAGCATGCTCCATACTTCTCTGCATTTCGAAAATTCCACTTGCAGCAAATCAAATCAAATCCCTTTGGGCAAAAGCTAGGTTTTTTGCTCTTGATTTAGTAGAACAAGAACGATAATCTCGCATGTTTCATCAGAATTTTTCTCGGGGACATCTAGGGCCCCATTTTGATTCATAATAAGGGGATGCAGTATATCTTACGGAGGCATTTCGGTTGTTGGCCACTCCATGAACCATTCCTCAAGCAAGTTCTTTGAGACGACCCAACCCTACTGTACCCAGTTGCACAACTGAACAACACCTCACTGGGATGAGATGTGTCGGAACCAAACATCCAACCATTTACGGGAGGCAGTAGCTTTCCACAATCTTCTCCTATAAATAAAAGTATACAGTTAATAAGCAAAACTGGACACAAATGGAACAATTTTCAATTGAATGCCTAAAATAATCTGGTATTGCATATATTTTGTTCTTGCTTTTCTATCTAGTTTTTTTTTTAATTCGCTCTGTCATTGGTGTGGATCATATCTCTACACTTTTAAGCAATCTGCTACAAACCTCTAATCAACTGTAGTTTAAACATTCGTTTCTTGCCGCCTTAAGGTGAGGCGTGAGTTTATAGTTGGTCTTTCAATTTTTTTTTTTTTTTTTGACTTTGGTTTACCGCCGGTTTACGAGTCTAATCGAAAAGCAATCCATCGTCAAAAACCCCTCGTGTGGGAGTTTACCTAATTATGCTTAAAAAGATGCTAAGTCGGGTAACATTGCCGCAAATACCCGATTAGCATCAGCTCCATTAATCTTAATTTCGAGCTGATCAATCCTCTTATGCCAAAGACTACTAGAAGACAATACATGTATGATACTTCGAAAAGCTGTGATACACTGACGAAGAAGAAAATACCATGCCTTGGCAATGTGTTTTTCCACTCGTCCATGTCCCGTCCGCTTGGCATGTTCGGGAAGATGTTCCGTGTAAGGAAAATCCTGTGTTACAACTAAAGGTGACCGTATTGGGATATGTTGTGGAATTGCCATGGGCAAAACCATGTTCAGGAATAGCTAAAGGACCACAATCAACCGCTGGAAGAAATAAAATTATAAATGATTGGGGAATGAACTTTGTGTCTCGAAAGAGAACCAGCTTCAAATCGTGTCCTGACGAACGCCATGCATCTAATCTCAATGCGTCTTTTTAGAAAGCACACACTTCCCTGAATCCAATCGAGCATTTAGAATCAAATCGAAGCTTGTCTCCAATTTGTGTTTCAGCTGTTCCACATGTAAGAAAGGAATAATTTTTCATTTTTTACAACGCCGTATCATAACACGATTCTTTTACTAACGATGACCGGTTTTTTGTGATGTTATTTAATCCCTGAAACACAAAGAAACTGAAAGGCTGTGATAGACAGGTAAAACCTACACCATTTACACTTGTCATGTAAAGACTCTTAAATGTAGACTATGGTCTTCAAACTGTGGTATTGTTGACAAATAGAACCGGGAAAGGTGTACTGAAACAAGGCATTAATTTCTTTAAACAATAAATAACTAAGACAGCCGTCAATCAAGGCGTCGGCCCTCTAAAAGCCGAGTGGTAACAAGCAAACAAAATGGGTGGAGGATTCCTTATTTCCTTATTCCTTAAATGTACCTCGGCATTTAACCTCCACTCCACTCCATTGACCATCGGCCCCACATCTCCTGATGGTGGATCCTTGGAGGTTAAATCCTGCATCACACTCAAATTCCACTTCGCTTGGATACGTCGTCTTGTCACCGATCACGGACCCGTTGAGAGGCCTTGGTAGATTTCCACAGTCCTTTGCTAATGAGGGGCAGACATTTCATGAACTTAAGAGTAAAAAACCTTGAATCGGGAATAACGTTTTCCTTCTTGAGTACACTTCACTTAGCTCATCTAAGATCAACAGGGTTTAGCTCAAATTACTACTTTAAGCAGATAAGTTTGGCTAACCAAACTTTTATATGCTAAAATGCAACGAGATAACGAGTACAGCTGGGATAAAACAAGGTAAACGTGGCTGAGAGTAACTTTACACGAAATTTTGAAACTTATAATCTAATTTCCTGGCTCACTCCACGCGTTCTTAGTGACGTTTGTTAAACTAATCAAAGCATCCTTTCAACTAATAAACAACTGTCGTCTTCTACCCTTTTTACTTTGTGATCGAATACTCTAGCGATGCACTTTTCTCAATAGAAAAATTATTTTGTTGGAATTGTGGTAGAGGTGCAGTTACGTGTAGATCTCGTACCGTCACAAAAAGTGTCATTCGAACTCCACGTTCCGTTTACTTGACACTTAATACGAGAAGATCCTCGAAGAATGAATCCCATATCACAAACTGCATTCACAACGTTTGGGAACACTGTACTTGTCCCGTTGTAACTCCCGTATTGCAAAGGTCGTAGCGGACCGCAATCCACGGCTAAAAATAGACAAATACGATCACAACAAAGTCAGCTGGCAGAACAGCTATGATCAGACTTCGCAAGCAATACATTTTTTATCCTCTACGTGCGAAATTACACCCACTGTAACTTTTGACTCCTTAAATCTCAGATGGTGCACGGTTTCAAACGTCCCTAGCAGCCAACAGACCCATTCGGGTAAATCTATTCAGCCAAGCGATGCAAGCTTTAACTATATGCGTAAGCTCTGGGCTAAATTTCAACTATAAATTTTTTACTACATGCAACGAGAATTATCAAATTGATTCCTCTTAGGGTATTCACAATTTAAACTTACGAGTACAAATTGTCTCTATTCCACTCCATGTACCATTAGCCTGGCATGTTCTTGTGGAGGAACCACCAAGCAAAAATCCAGGATCACAGTAGAACAATAATTCATTAGGAAACACCGTAAAGTTTCCAAGTGAACTGCCATTCCTTGGAGCGGATAATGAGCCGCAGTCAACAGCTGCAGAGAAAAAATCGACTTTAATCGAATTCGTTTCGGCGAACCTGAAAATCCAATGTGATAGATACTCGACATATTCGCAACTCTAGCCAAACTAAAACTGCGGCAAATCAAATGATCTGTCATAATGATAAAAAGGTATATACTAAGTACCTTTGCAAACAGTTTTAGTACCACTCCATGTTCCGTTTGCTTGACAGCGCCTGAATGACGATCCGTATAAAATAAACCCAACATCACAGCTCAGTATGGCTTCATTCGGAAAGGTCGTTTCACGTCCAGTAATAGAACCGTTCAAAGGGACCTCAAGAGCACCGCAGTCCTTAGCTGTAAGAAACAGTGGACTTTCCAGTCACAGACAATTTGATTGACGTTAAAAAGTGAAAGTTGTAACACTGCTTGAAATAAGAAATTAACCGCCTAGCCCATACAGCAGCGATATTCAATGACGAGCCATATTGGTAATCAAAAGTAAAAAAATAAATAAATAAATAAAAAAATAATTATAAAAATAAAAAAAAAGATCGATGCACCCGTTTTCAAGTTAAACAAGATCTGCCTCTGTTGTTTGCTGTAGGAAGTTATTCCACGGCACATAGTTACCGCTAACATTTGTTTTCTACCTTCACAAAAACTAGACGTTTTGCTCCATGTTCCGTTTGCCTGGCATTTTATCTCAGGAGAACCACGAAGAACAAATCCCTTATCGCAAATGTGGCGCACAGAGTTCGGGTACACAGTAAACTTTCCAATGATACTTCCATTCTGTAATGGCTCAGGCCAACCACAGTCGATAGCTACAAGAAAACATCCGCCAAAAAATAAAAAGCTTGGTTATTTGGTGACTCTTGGCTGCGATAGGTAAAAGAAACGTCAATGTCGTCGTTGTTAATTATCCGAGTTAAAATTATGATTACAAAAATCGCAGAGTTAGAAATAAACGACGATCACTGACGTACGTCAGTCTGTCTGTCCGTCCGTTCTCCCATTTGACTAAGAGGTCATTTATTCCACTTGGACTACTTCAAAGATTTAAAGAGACACGTCAGTGTAGCCTTGCGTTAATCCGTGTAAGTAAATAGGTCACCTTTCACAGAACGGATATGATGTGGAGGAAATTATGCGAATTCAAGAGGAAGAAGGATCGATGTAGACATGATCAACTTAAACTGCAGCATCGAAAGGTACAGCGATTTTAGCCAATTTAACACTGTTTGATGATGCATCCGAAATTTTCAGGATTCATGCACAAAAACGCTGGAGAGATGATGCATATTGGATGACCTTCATTCATTGACTGACTATGCGCGCGAGATTTGAAAATCTCATCGAATAATAATTATGAAAAAAAGGAAGAGAGCAAATGAAATAGAAGGATTAAGGAAGAGATCCATGAATAAAGGCACGGAAAGATAATTGCATCAGAATAAATAAGAAGGAAAGAACAGATCAGTGTCAGTATATGAGCAACTGCGCAACTACCCCTCCCCTAACTTGACTATAATCTTAACTTGTTAACAGTTGACTGTTGTTAGGTTAGGGGAGAGGTAGGTGCACAGTTGCTGAGGCATTTGTTTTGATTGGAATAAACATATGAATGAAATGAGTAGATGAGTAAAAACGTGAATGATCGAATTATTGATTGAATAAGGAATCCTTGATTGATTGTTTCACTGATTGATCATTGATTGATCAAAAAAATGAAATTATAACTGCCAAAGGTGTTCTTGATTCAGGATAAGACGGAGAGGAACAAGACCGCTCGTTCAACCTACCACTACATTCAATGGAGAAACCACTCCATGTTCCGTTAGTCTGGCACATCCTTGAGGCAGATCCACTCAAAATGAACCCTGGATCACAACTAAATTGTATAGCATTAGGGAAGACTGTGGAGTCTCCAGAAGAGGAACCATTCGTAGGAACAGGTAAAGGTCCACAATCAACAGCTACAAAGAATAGAAATGCATCAGGTATACAATTTTCGCTCATGAGACATTGCCATCGATTTCCATCTTTCGGCCAGTAACTTATTATTAAAAGATTACTTTCTATTCAAGCTAGTTGAATTAAACATTGGCATTTATAGCTTTGAAGCATAGATTTAACCATTAATAAATCGCAACTGGATGCAGTTTTGTAGCGAGCCATCTTTTCATAATAAATTTCCTCTTTAAATAATTACATTTTCTCAAAAGAAGCGTCTTCAAAAGGTTAACATTCTGAGGGAAAATTGCAATTTCTACTTTTGTTATTTACCTGCTTTTAACAGTTCTTTCCTTACAACTTACCCACACATACAGTTTTAGTCCCATTCCAAGTTCCATGAGGTTGACACGTTCTCACAGCAGAGCCATTAAGAATAAATCCAGGGTCACAGCTAAACTGCACACTATTTGGGAACACCGTGGAGTTACCAGAAGCGGAGCCGTTCATCGGAACATACAAGGGGCCACAGTCTACAGCTATAGAAATAAATACAATGCTAAACATTTAAAAAATCAAGTGGGACGGAAGGGTGCTCTTTGCACTAAAATCCTCATAACGCAGTAGAATGACCCGCTATTATGAACTGGAGTAGAAAAGAATTGCCTGTTTAATACAGCTAAAACGAAAGAAAGAAAACAAAACCTTCACAATATGTCTGAATTCCGCTCCAAGTTCCATTTCCCTGACATCGCCTGGTTTGCGAACCGCTGAGAAGAAATCCTTGGTCACAACTAAAGTCGACCTTGTTCGGAAAAGTAGTAAGATCACCATGTAAAGAACCATTTGCTGGGATTTCCAAGGCACCACAATCTTTTGCTGAATCAAGATATTATCAATAAAGGGTGTTTGAGTGGTGATCTACGTACATGCGTATCTAGGACAGTTGTGAACATTATAGACCTTTTACATGACGGTGGACATGGTCTTTATTCTCATTCAGGAGAAAAAACAACTGGATTTTCACTCAAAAGCGAGGGCGAGAGGCTTGTTGCATGCTTTTGAGTGAAAATCCTGTTTTTTTTTCCCCTTAAATGTTTTTGAGTCCACAAAGGCAAGATGAAATGAATACAAAAGAATTGCAACTAAACTTGTCATTTAGGAAAGAGGTGTATTGCAACTACGAGCTCCGCGAGTGTATATTAGAATTTACTGAGATCCGTAGAAAAAGCTCAACAGAAAGGAATATAGATTGCACAAACCTAGGCAGGACTCTGAAATAAATTTCGATTTCAACAGTAAACTTACCAATACAAACAGTTTCAAGCCCATCCCACGTCCCGTTTGCCTGACATGTCCTCCTATAGGATCCATCAAGAATGAATCCGAGATTGCAAGCAAAGAGCAGGCTATTAGGGAAGACTGTGGAGTCACCAACGAAAGATCCGTTCTTAGGAGCCGAGAGAGGACCGCAATCGACAGCTGAAAAAGAGTTCACACAAATGTTTTAATTAGAATCGAGTTAGACATGTTTCCTTTTTTACAAAATATTTCGATTAAGGAAAGCAATCCAAAATCATTTCCTTTCACTGCACTCCGAGTTTAGAATGGTTAACCAACACCACCTAGAATGTTCAAACAAAAGCAATCTCGGCTTCGCCCCAAGTTTTTCCCCGCTTGACGCCAGGTATTTTTAAAATTCGGGTTAACGAAGTGAATGCTAGAATGTGTCTCTACACGTTTAATTTCATTAGCATGTGCTATGCAGTTCCGTCTTACCAATATGGCAATGTTACCTCTGCAAGATGTTTGAACTCCACTCCAGGACCCATTAGCCTGGCATCGCCTGACTGTTGAACCATTCAAAATAAATCCTTCGTCACAGCTAAAGGTAACTTCATTTGGAAAAGTAGTTTTTTGTCCAGTTGCAGAGCCATTCACAGGAACAACAGGCGCCCCACAATCCTTGGCTGTAGATAAAGAGAAAACGAAAGAAATAAAACCAAAAACAACACAGGCAGCATTGTAGGCCAAGTTTACTAAATAACATCAAGCGTAAAAGAAAAAGGTCAGCCCGAATATATCTCTTCTTTTGTATTTCTGCTTTGAACACCCTCTCGTAGCAGAAAGTTGGAAAGCCTTGAAGTACTAATTTAGACCGTCATTTCATATGTGCATTATCTTGCTACATATCTTAATGTTCTACTGTGATCAATGTATTCTAAAATGTCTTAGGCACTCCAGTGGCACAACACCAATGACGTATTTCACAACAGTTCTGAAAATACACATGCACCTTTCCAATGCATATTTGCAGTGAGATCTGGAAACGTGTTTTACCTTCACAAAAGGTGGAACTTTTGCTCCAGGTTCCATTCGTCTGACACTTTATTTTTGGAGGACCGCGAAGAACGAATCCTTCATCGCAAATGTGAGTCACAAAATTGGGATACACAGTAAATTCTCCGATGACGGTGCCATTCTTTAAGGGCTGGGGCATACCACAGTCAATAGCTGGAAAGATAAATCACATCGGGATAGGACAAAGTATAATAAAAGCTCAAGCTTGTTGTAAATAATTATGGCCAAAACAAAACGTACGACGACCTAATACATGAGTAATCTATGCTCTAAAGTTTATAACTAAAGGAGGTAACTTCGTCCGTCCGTCAGACCATATTAACTATGCGGGGTGCAAACAGCAAACTATAGAACAATAGGTGCTTACAAAGACGCAAGCAATTCGTAACACAAACAAATACACATCAGAAGGAAACTGGCTTTTAGGCGACAGTTGAACACTTACCATAACCGTAGCAACGTTCTAGCGACAACAAATAAAAGGAAATACGACAGAGGATTGTAACACACAATGGAAATACTTAGCGTCGATAATTTTAACGTCTTGTGTAGAACGCCTTCCTGTTGCTTCTAAATGACTGCCAGTGACAAGCACATCCATGACAATCCTGACGTGCGACCTCAATGGAATGTATTTCCTTGAACCTACCATTACATACAGCTTGTAAGCCACTCCACGTTCCATTTGCCTGGCACTTCCTCGTAGCAGAACCATTAAGAAGGAATCCAGGATCGCAGTTAAATGCTACACCATTGGGAAACACTGTTAAGTTACCAGTTGAGGAACCATTCTTCGGAGCGGATAGAGGACCACAGTCAACGGCTAGAAAGGCATCATTAATTACGTCAGTACCTGCACTAAGTAAACTTTCTTCTCTTAGTTAAGGACCTTATTATCTCATTAAGGTTTGAATAAAAGCAAAACCTGGAAGCTAAGGACCCGTAGCATTGGAATATAATTATAATTACTGCCTCGCATCTTCATATACAGACGGTAGTGTTTCTGAGTTATTTTTAGTGAGGAAGTCGAGAATTGTAAATATGTGCGAATTGTGTCTTTTCTGTTACTCCTGCGATCTCCTTTTTCACCTGCTAAATTGCTCTTTTAATACGTACCACTGCATACGGTCGGGAAACCGCTCCAGGATCCATTCGCCAGGCATTTTCTTTCGTGGGATCCACTGAGAATGAACCCTGAATCGCAGTCAAATAGCACACTATTGGGGAACACTGTAGATTCCCCAGAAGAGGAGCCGTTCGTGGGATTTGATAAAAGACCACAATCAACAGCTATAGACAAAAAAAAATTGCTGCAACTATGTTTTCATAAATGGAAAACTGAAAACCAACAGCACTCACTAATATAAGCGAGAAAAAGTTCTTCTGATTCTCTCAATAAACCTTTAGGATGTCGTGTGAAACGAGCCAGGTTTCTCCTATCGCTCAGAATACTGTTACTCTAGTTGTGCTTCGACAATGGATGAATTATCTTTTCTTTTCTCTAAAGAATCAGCGGGTTTAATCCTTGTTTTACTGAGGGCCAAGCAGCGAATTTTAGTCGAACTCGCCCATCTGGGGAACAGAGCCAACGGACCGAACGCACGCAAGACCCCATAAAAAATTCCAGTGGTGGTTTCGAAATGCTTTGTTCCGCTGTTACAAAGGAATCTTGCCATCGAACTTTTCATAAACAATTGCAAAAATTTAGTTTTATACACAGCCATGAATCGTAATAATCTTATGAAGAACCAGGATATTGATTAAAAGGTGAACAATATGAACCTTTGCAAAAGGTCTGATTTCCACTCCAGTTCCCATTTGTTTGACAATGCCTGATGGAAGAGCCCTTGAGAAGAAAACCTTTATCACAATCAAAGGCGATCTCATTTGGAAAAAATGTCAGTTCGCCTATTGAAGAACCGTTCGTCGGAGCTGCAAGCGGACCACAATCTTTCGCTGTGTAGAAATAAAAGCAGAATTACATGCGTTGTTCTTGCGGGCTAGAGCAGAATTCAGCGAACTGACGTAATTGCAAAACACACAACACTTAAGGTAAAGGTAGCTGCAAACGCGTCTCACATGTTTCGTTGAAACCTACCAGAACATGAAACCGCTTTTCCACTCCAAGTTCCATTAGCCTGACACATCCTCATGGGGGATCCATAGAGATTGAATCCAGGATCACATTTGAATATCACACTATTGGGAAAAACTGTGAAGTTACCAGAAGAAGAGCCGTTTACGGGAACCAATAGACGACCACAATCAACAGCTATAAGAAAAAAGAGTTAAGAAAAAGGTTATTTCATTCAAAACCATTCTGCGATTATTGAAAAAAGCTTCAGCATACGTCTGGCTTAACTCTGATTTTATTTCTGCATTACCCAACCAAGAAAAACCGATCTCCTGATAAACATCAAATTTGCGTTAATTCTGATGAAAATCACATTTACTGCAAGCAGCGTCGACAAGAATAGTTCAGAAGGGGCTTACCAATCAATTTCTGCAGGAAGTAAAAGCATGATCAGCGGGAAACCTTACCTTCACAAGAGGTGTCATTACCACTCCAAGTCCCATCTGCTAGACACTGTCTTGTAGTGGATCCTCTTAAGATGAATCCGTCATCGCAGCTAAAATGAAGTTTACTAGGATAGGTTGTTTTGCTTCCAGTTATTGAACCATTGACAGGAATATCCAGAACACCGCAGTTTCTGGCTGTGTGAAAAGAGAACGTAACACTGAATATGATTGACAGGATGTAGAGACTGACAACATCCTGATGAAGGTGGATGAACATTTTCAAAACCGCATAACTATTCAAATATACCGAAAAACGTCATCTTAAGACCACCCGCACATCCAAAGTAAAATACACTTGTCCACGTGAATATAGGCTACAATGTCTTGGTTACACCCAAATGCTGCAAGAAATAAGCTACTACTTTGGGCCTACTTTGGATTCAATTGATAAAATTTACCTTCGCAATAGCTTGAAGTTTTGCTCCATGTTCCATTTGTCTGACAAGTAATCCTTGAGGAGCCATGTAGAATGAATCCTTCATCACATCTGTGAGTGACACTATTTGGATAGACTGTCTTATTGCCAACAATACTTCCATTCTGCAAAGGCTGAGGATTGCCACAATCAACAGCTGAAAATATAAACATAAATCATGATAGAGGCGGAGAAAATAAACAAGCTCTGGAAATCTTACTTTCAAACAATAACGAGGCGACGGTTAAAAATCGTCGAGCAACACCTTCATCATATACCTCTTGTGACGTCGCATAAGATAACTGACAAGGAGATGGGGGATGGGAGCTGATGAGTACAATTTAAAGTCAGACTCTCCGTTCTCAAAAAACACGCCATTCGGGAATTTCACGTTACTGCTTTACAGAGAACAGCTTTGAAATGCAAAAACTCTTAAAACGCACGTGCAGAGCTTCTGTTCTGCTCCCTAAATACTGATTTAACCGCCTCGCTGTTGCATTTGCGTCGTGCGTAAAACAAGTAATTATAGACCATTTCAAGATTCTCGTTTCGTGAAACTTTATCTGGTACAATTGCCATGACGACGCGAAATCAAGCGTGTGCCTAAAGACCAGAAAGGTTTCCATTGCTTACCAGTGCTCATCAGGGAACTTTTTCATGCCAGGATAAATGATATTAAACATAGTGGGAGATAACTATTGTCCGTCTATCCATTCGTGTTGACGTTTTATGTTTAAGGTTTACTAACCAAAGAAAAAGGTTTGTCGCGCGCTTAAAGCATAAAAGGATTCAAAAGCACCACGTGAGATTGATAACGAAGACTTTAAAACTTAGAAAGTATACCCAAACAAAATCATAACGACGGATGTGAACAACTTGAAATTAGCACAAAAGACAAAAGCTTGAGAGCAAGGAATCGACAGTGTGAAGGGATCACAAAGGATATTAGGGTCAGAGCAAGGTAAGGTGAGAAATTTTTAACATTCAGTCGCATAAGCAAAGCGTTGACGTATTCCGTCTCGTTGTAGCAAGACGATAACATTTTTTTAATTAACAACTTTTTTTTCCTTTTCTGCTTCAAACGTACCAATGCAAAGACTTTCAAGTCCACCCCACGTCCCATTTGCCTGACAAGTTCTTATGGCAGATCCATTGAGAAGAAAACCAGGATCACATTGAAAGTGTACGCTATTGGGGAACACCGTTGAGTTACCAGAGGAAGATCCATTCATGGGAACAGATAACGAACCGCAGTCAATGGCTACAAAAACAATAAACATGAGATTCATCTAATAAAAGAACAGCTATTAGTTGTGGCAAACCAAGGTTTCTATTCTATTCCGCGCCGTGAGACTGTTTCTCAAAATATTTCAGTTGCTTTTTTCACATAACAAAAGAAATTATATTGTTAAGGGGTGTTGTTAAAACCTGAAGTCCGAACTGCGCAAGATATAATACACTTATTAGTGCCACTTTCGTGAGCTTAGTGCGTACACCGCACAGCGGTGCTCACATTAACCACAAAAAATGTTACCTCGATCAATAAGCCAAAACGACTTTCTGTAAAGCCACGAACAAAAACACACCAATTTTATTTTCGTGTTAGACTTACCACTGCAAGTAGTTGGAGAACCACTCCATGTCGCATTAGGCTGGCATGTCCTTACAGTAGATCCACTGAGAATGAAGCCCGTATCACAGTTAAAAAGCACACTATTCGGAAATAACGTGTAATCACCAGAAGAGGAGCCGTTCACAGGAACAGATAAGGAACCACAATCAACAGCTTGAAATAAGAAGTTTACAAAACACTTACTTAGTGATCTATAATGTAGCGCAATATTGGTGATTATTGGTTCATAAAGTACTATAAAAAAAAAACTTTCGTCAATTTTTTTATTACTTTACAGCAAATAAAAGAGAATAAATGTATCATGTCTAAATCAAATGTATTGCGTAACTCAGAAAGACAAAAATAACTATAGATACCTTGACAAAAGGTCTGATTTCCACTCCATGTTCCATTTTCCTCACAATGCCTGGTTTGAGAGCCTCTCAAGAAAAAACCTTCGTCACAACTAAAGTCGATCTTGTTTGGAAAAGTTGTAAGAAAACCAATACTGGAGCCATTTGTTGGGACAGCGAGAGGGCCACAATCTATCGCTTGATGAAATAAGAGAAAATATATCGACCAAAATTTACTTTAATTATGCAATACTTACGTAGAGAATTAGGAGGGAATATTTTTTGCCCGGCCAATCGGCTTTGCAAAACATATATTAGCAAATAAATCCTACCAGTGCATACTGTTGTGACTCCACTCCAAGTTCCATTGGGCTGACAAGTTCTCTCCGCTGAACCACTTAAAATAAAGCCAGGTTCACAACTAAATTGTATACCGTTGGGGAACACTGTAGCCACACCATGAGATGAGCCATTCATGGGTGCAGGTAAAGAACCACAGTCGACAGCTACGAAAAAAATGAAATTACAAAGGATTTCAATGCGAGTAGGTCTGCTCTTGTCGACAAGAATGTCTGTCTTTCAAAATTCGTATATCTCTATTTCAATGCATTCTTTGTCATAAAAACACCACAACAGTTAAAAATGAAAATAAGGAAAAAGTATTTCGTCGGATTCTCGGTCAACCAAAGAAGGCATCTGTTCCTCTCTGAGAAACTGAATCGCGCTCTAAATGAAACCACTGTCTAGACCTTAACCTAATTAACAGTATATTGAAAATTCAGACGCCGCAATTGTCATGTGGCATCTTCTACAGATGCCGCAAGATACCCAAAGCTAAAAACAGTTGTATGAAGGGATCTACCTATCTGCTGTAGGTGTCCTTACCTGTGCACGTGGTCTCTGTGCCACTCCAGGACCCATTTGATTGGCAGTACCTCACACTTGAACCACTTAAAATAAATCCTTCATCGCAATTAAAAGAAACTTTGTTGGGAAACGTTGTTTCAAGACCCGTCATGGAACCATTTATGGGCTTTGAAAGATTGCCGCAATCCTTAGCTGGAAAACAAAAGCAGGGGATATGTTGGTACTTGTTTTAAAAATCGCCAATTCCATATCACCACGATTGAGCACCGATGTCTTACTTTACTATCCACTGATTATTTGTATGAAACAAGGTCTTACCTTCACAAAAGCTATCAGTTTGACTCCAGGTTCCATTAGTTTGGCATTTTATCTCAGCGGGGCCTCGAAGGATAAAACCTTCGTCGCAATTGTGAATGACAAAATTTGGATACACTGTGTTTTCTCCAATGACGCTCCCATTTCGCAAAGGTTGAGGCCGACCACAGTCAACAGCTGAAATGCAATACCGCCGAAAACAAGAGAGGTACCATAAAAAATACGTCTTTTTAGAATAATTAATAAATTATGAACGCTGGTCTGGACAGTAAGTTTAAATCAATTAATTGGGTGACAGTGATATAAATTGCTTAGATTGAACGACAAGAACAAATTCAAGAATGGCACTTCATGAAAAGACGATGATCGAGAATATGTGACAGAGGTGACGAATCCTTAGTTCGTCCGTCAGCCCGTTCCGTCCCTTCACGAATGAAGCAAACAAAATTACATTTCGAAATCGAAGATACAAATGTTTTGACACGTTGATCGGTTCAGGAGTAGCGCAAAATGCTCAAAGGGAATAGGCGGCAGAAAACATATCAGCATGAACGAAATTTAGCATGTAAACAATTGTGGAGCAGGTTGTAATTGCATGAAAGAACACACATAAAGCGAATATCAAATGATAACAGACTGAGTTGAACGCGACAGTGAGTGCCATAACAGGAAGTAAGCGCAATTGGGCATACAATAAGACAATAGCAGTTGGGCGTTAACGGGCGTTTCTTCAAAACGAACACGTAGGCAACATCAAATGTCCGTGTTTATTGATGTCTGCTTCAGACATACCACTACATGTGGTTGTAAAGCCACTCCATGTTCCATTAGGCTGACACGTCCTTAAAGCAGATCCGTTTAGGATGAATCCAGGATCACAGATAAAATGCTGACTATTTGGAAAAACTGTTGCTGCACCAAGAGAGGAGCCATTCGCAGGAACAGACAAAGGACCACAGTCAACAGCTAAGGAAAAAGAAATAAGAGGAAAAAAAGGAAAAAAAAATAAGAGGGAGATAAGAAATAATAAAAAGTTTCATCAGGACCTACGAAGAAAAACAGATTATAGCCCTTAGAAGACTCTTTATTTAGGTACCTAGAGTCCTCTAGATTACCAAAGTGAATGTTCTAATCTGAAAGACCCAACGAAATAATTTCAGGAAGACAAGGTCTAAAGTTATGATCCATCTTATCTCATTTAACGCAAAAGTTTGTCTCTTTTCTCCCTTTTTTGTTTTTCCTTGCAAGCGACGGATAATATCCATTGTCCCATTAAAAATTTAGAAGATCAAAAGTTTGTTTCGCTAAATACGACCGAGTTATTTTGAGATACAGTACAACTAGCATCTTCTCAACATCTAATCTCACTGAATAAAGAGCAAAGAAAGACCTTGACAGAATGTCTGATCCCCACTCCAAGTTCCGTTAGCTTGACAAACCCTGATATGAGAGCCGCTGAGGAGAAATCCTTCATCGCAATTGAAGACGACTTTGTGTGGAAATACTGTCAGATCGCCAATAGACGAGCCGTTCACTGGAACGGCTAGAGGACCGCAATCTTTCGCTAAATAAAATAATAATCATCGTCATCATTATCATGAATCATCACCAACGTCGCAAATAAACTGCTTGTTTAACTACACGAGAAAGCAGCATGATTTCCTCTTGAGTTTTCTACAACTTAAGTTAGCCGCTGAACCCAACTCAGGGTCAGGTTGCGAAAATATTTCGACAGCACAGGTATGCAACCAGATAGGATGACAATATTAAAATGTGCAGAAGAAGGAGACAGAAAAGGAACGCTTGAATTTTGGTTAATATGAGTCTCAATGGCTCAAAATTTTCAAGGTAAGTTACTTAGTTTTATCTAAATGTAGAAAAAGAAAAGATTGTCGAACCTTGACACTTAGTTTCATTGCCACTCCAAGTACCATTAGATCCGCATTTCCTCACAGACGATCCGGTCAAAATAAAGCCTTCGTCACAATTAAACCTTAAGATATTTGGGTACGTTGTCACTTTCCCAAACATAGTGCCATTCTGTGGGGTCATAAGCTCTCCACAATCGATAGCTTCGAAAATAACGAAAACAAATGAAATAACAATCAAAAGAATGCAGTAACTGCCGAAAAATAATTAATTAATGTAATTCAAACTGTTTTAGAGATCGCTATTTTAGTAAGAAACAAAGTAACCTTAAGAAAGCGTAATGGGGCGCAATTTCACTACCGTCTTTTTACCTTCACAAATGGTTTCGTTTCCATCCCATTTTCCATTAGATTGGCAAGTTCTTAGCCAGGAACCATGCAAAACGAATCCAGAATCACACCACAATCGCACACTATTAGGGTACACCGTCCGATTTCCAGAAGAGGATCCATTTAAAGGAGATGAAAGAACACCACAGTCTACAGCTAAAATGGTAGAAACGAATAAATGCAAAATAAAACGAATCCAAAAAAACAAAGGTGACAGCAAAAAACTTAAAGAAAGTACTGAAAAAATGGGTGGACTTTAAATCAATATTGCCTCTGGCAATAGCGGCACGACAGATGGTAGTAAACATAACTTCTCCATAACAAAAAAGAAACTGAACTTAGATCTAACGCAATGAACAGTTTTTGTTATACCAACGGACATCATTTTGAAATCTTTACGATCTTATTTATTTTCTTTCAGCTAATTAAGGTATACTGTCCAAAACAACAGTCATTTTGTTACATAAATAATATTACAATTTATTAAATTTTTAACGCCGAATATAGAATTGCTAGTGTTCTGATTGATTCATTAAACTCCGGTTATCGGCTCATATTATTACATATTATTTCCATATTCATCTTATATGGAAATGCGCCAACTGTTGCAGAACTGAGAATACATCTATTCCATTCGCGCTTGTTAGATACGTGATTGGTTATATCCAACTCTCATATCCAACGCACGCTCATGGAACATTTGTTAAATATACGTACCGACGCAGATAGTAGTGTTCCCACTCCAGTTTCCACTTGGCAAGCATTGCCTTGTCCTCGACCCTCGCAGAATAAAACCTTCGTCGCAACTGAATATCTTTTCGTGCGGATATGTTGTTAGGTTACCAAATGAAGACCCGTTGGTTGGAGTCACTAGCTCACCACAATCTTTAGCTAATGGAGGAAAGTAATGATACAGTTAAAGCTCCTGTATGGTTATATCGATGCATAGCACTTACAACACTCTATACCCAGCGTTAATTAACACACACCAGCAAATTGAAAGTTTACCTTCGCAAAATGTTTTGTTTCCACACCATTTCCCGTTTGATAGACACCTCCGAACTTTTGAGCCTCTCAGGATGAAGCCTTCATCACAGCCGAAACTAATTTTGTTCGGAAAGGTTGTGAGTGATCCTTCCAGCGATCCATTCATGGGTATAGCAAGCACTCCACAATCTTTTGCTAATAAAGTAGTCAGGACAAGAACACCTTGATTCATTATCAAAACGATAAGAGTCACAATAAAGTAACATTTATCATAATTTGACATGCGGGTTCAGAGCTAAAATGGTAGTTAAATCCAAAAAAAGCCAACGAATATCTCAGTGGCATGGGTTCGAGCCCTGCCGAGACCTTTATGATATGGGCTTCATTTTCTGGAATTTCTTCCGTTGCAATTCTTCTGTGAGTTTCAGTTCGTTTTCTATTAAAAGCAACAAAATTATTTCAAAAATACCTTCACAAAATGTGTCATTTCCACTCCACTGTTTATTAGGTTGACATTGTCGCACTGCAGACCCTCTCAGAACAAAACCTTTATCACAACCAAAGCTGACCTTGTTGGGATAAGTAGTCAGTTTACCAGTAAGGCTGCCATTCAAGGGAACGGACAAAGGTCCGCAGTCATTTGCTGAGTTGAACAGTTAATAAGATTAAGAACAGGTTTGTATCGAAAAAGCACAAAATGAATAGAAAACACCTCAACAACATTTCTGCCTCACAGATTTATAGGATTTCGATAACTTTTCTATTAGCGGCTGCCGTTCGTGTTATAAGCCATAGCTCCCAAGGAAAAGGGAAGCCACGGTACCCCGGGAGGGACAGTAAGGCGAAACGAAGAACGAGAGCCCGCTTGCAGGGTTAACAGACGGCGGTAAGGGGTCTTATAAACGGAGGTAGACCACCGGTTGCAGGTTTTAGCCCTTTACACTCTAACATCAGCATCCATATTCTCCATACTCTTTTCTATACGTTTCCTTTAGTACTGAAGGAGAATTTGTTTAACAATCAAAGTTTCTTTGATCATCTCCTTTATTCTCATGATCTCATGAATGATTTAGCCATATCACCGTAAGGAGATATTAGATACTGGTCAGTCTCAATTTTTAAAATGTTAATCAAAACCCCTGAGGTTTACAAGGGCAAATAAAATATATCTCAAAAAAAGAGAATTCTTTGTTTCCAAGCGTTCTTACCGTATCTTTCTCTGATAAACGGAAAATCTCTACTACGGCACTTCCTCAACATGTCACAATAGTGGCACGTACAACAACACAAATACATAGAACTATTGATACATTTATTAAGATAGTCCCATCACTGCATCTAAAGTTACAACAAAAATAGAAAAGTAGACGAAGAAACAAAGAAACTAAATAAAAAAACCAAATAATTCTAACAAAGTAATTTAAAACAAGAAATAGTAAATTTAGGGAAGGTTCATGTACTCATGTTTAAGAGGGGAATCGTGATGGTTCAGTTTGCTCATAAAAGAAAGTTTCTTTTCACCTTGGCATAGTGCGTCGGTTCCACTCCATGTTCCATTTGCTTGACACTTCCTAACAACGGCTCCGACTAGTGTAAACCCAACATCACAAGTAAACAACAGCATGTTGGGATAGGTCGTATTTTTACCGATCATGGTTCCATTGTGAGGTGCTTGTAGCTGTCCGCAATCAATAGCTGCAGGTGAAGGAAACTGTTAGTGAGGAAGCTTAGATAGATGCTCATTCTATCCTCCATTGTAACATGATAGAAGATAACCCTCCAAGGAAATAGATGAACAGCTTCTCGTGCGCGAACTCCTCTCCATATTCATTTACGTGTAGCGGTGACGTTTAAAAATTATTCGTTCTTGTTTCGCACGGGTACCTTGGGTTGACCGTCTTTTCTTGGTTAATTTTTATCATTATTCAGATCTTGTTAGATGGTAAGTTTCCAGATCGAAATCAGTAGCCGAGCAACTACACACCTACCCCTCTCCTAAACCAACAGTAACTCTGGCTTGATATCAGTCGGCTGTTGTTGGGGAGAGGTGGGTGCCCAGTTGCTCAGATACTGACATTGGTCCTTTCCGGATCAAATACTTAAACTAGACTATTCGTTAAGACTCAACTTGATAGGAAAGAAATAAGAATAATGTATATATTGGAAGTGTAATAACTTACCATGGCAAGAGGTCTTAAATCCATGCCATGTGCCATTCGCTTGGCACTTTCTAATTCTGGATCCTTTAAGAATGAACCCCAAATCACACTGAAATTGTAGACTACTTGGGAACACTGTCGAGTCGCCGGACAACGAGCCATTCTTTGGACTGTCTAAGTGACCGCAATCAACAGCTGTAAAAAAATTGCATTCATGAGGCAGTAGCTACAATACTTGCAATAGCTTTTCATCTACATTTGTTTAATTTCATCTCCGTTTCAAATTGTAGCAATAGGTAGAGAATTAGGGCTTATTACCTTCACAAAATGTGTCATTTCCACTCCACAACTTGTTAGCTTGGCATTGTCTCAAAACAGATCCATGTAAAATGAAACCTTCATCACATGTAAAGCTTATCTCGTTTGGAAACGTTGTTAGATTTCCGAATGAGGTGCCGTTCGTAGGTACTGACAAAGGACCACAATCGTTCGCTAAACGTTAGAAGGAAACGGAAATGAACTAGGAATCGGATTTTGTTGGAGATAAGCCAAAGAAACCAACTAACAAATAAAAAATCCCCATATACAATGTGTTTTTGATGCTCAGTTAATTGCAAAAACATAGGAAGATTGTTACCTAAATTGAGTTACTGCACGGCCATTTGGGGGCACAAGCATAAATCTTAGTTTCCGCCAAACCTTTCTCTGACCTTGCTTTAAGATAAATTATTTTCTATGTATAATAAGCGATTGCAGAATAACAAAATTCCGTTTGCACCTTTGCAAAAAGAGCTGTTTCCACTCCATGCTCCATTTGTTTGACACTTTCTGTAACTAGATCCGTGCAGCGTAAATCCTTCGTCACAGGAAAATTGCAGAATGCTGGGGTATACGGTCATTTTGCCCAATAAACTTCCATTTTGTGGAACAGGTAATGGCCCACAATCAATAGCTAGAGCAATAACAAAAAATAATAATTAGGGAAAACATGAAACAGTATTATTGACCTCAACACAAACTGAGCAGTTTGTACTTACGCTATTGAGTCAAAGTATAGAAATTTCGATTCTGTCCATCTCGTCTATTGTCCATCCGTCTGTTTTTTAAAAATTATTTTTTATTTTTTCTTCGTCGAATTGAACAGCATTTCGTGAAAAAAACGTGTTAGATGTGATAACGATCGCTAGCCGGAGCAGTAACTTTTATAAGGCCTTTAAGACTGGTAATCTCACCACTACAATTTGTTTCAGATCCGCTCCAGATACCATTCGACTGACACGTTCTCACAGAGGAACCACTAAGAATAAACCCCGCATCACAATCAAACCGAACGCTATTTGGAAAAACCGTGAGGTTACCGGAAAAAGAGCCATTCATTGGAGAGTCAAGTGAGCCACAATCGACAGCTGGAAAAACAAAAATTATAAGCCATAAATGGTTGGACTAGTACCAAAACTGGGGAAAAAGCCAAGCAAACAAACAAAACAAGCGAACAAATCATAAAAAAAATTGTTGTTTGCTAAGGCTAAGTATTTTGGTCATTAGTTGCCATTGGTCATTGGTTTATTTAGTAAAACATATTGTTTCCCTGTCCGTGCTATTACGGTTGAACAAATACAATGCAAAAAAATAAAGTACAGAGTGAGAGCCAATACTTTCCAAAGTTTTTACTATAGTGCCATGAAATCTGCATGAACTTTTCATTTCACTCTTACATCTGTCTTAGTGTTACATACTTATATAGTCGGCTTAACTCCACTGGAGTGCAACGTAAGAGACCGAAAAAAAAAAGGAAAGACCCACTAGATCCTTGCATAAAATGTGATTGGAGACATAATGTATGGTCTCTAGTCCTGGGAGAAACCGTTGATTGCCTGCCTTATCTTACCATCGCAATAAGTAGTGTTTCCAGTCCATGTCTTATTGGCTTGACACTTTCTGACTTTCGATCCTTTCAATAGGAAACCCTCGTCACAGCTGAAGGTAATGACGTTTGGAAAAGTTGTCTCACTCCCAAACAGGGATCCGTTTTGCGGAACTGATAGGTTTCCACAGTCATTTGCTACAGCGAGAGAAAGAAAGAAAGAAATGAAATTACTTCCTCCTGTTTGTAAAAAAAAAAACTTGGGTTCCTGAGTCGGATAATGTAAAAATTAAAAAGGGTAAAGGGTAAAAAAGCTAGTCTGTCCTTTTTACCCTTTTTACCAAAACAATTACTGAAAGAATGCGCCAAGATCAACTGAGCCGTAATCGAATGAACCTGAACGCTATCACGACACGTTGTCATTAAGTATAGTACATTAGAAAGCAAAAGATAGTAATTCAATTCAGCTCTATAATTTTTAAGACTTTTACTTTCGGTTGCTGTGTCGGTTAATTTGGGATGGAATGAAAAAAAATGGAAAATGTTTCAGGACGAAATGTTGTTTGAGTCTGTCCTATGACTCCCGCATTCTCGGTCCCAGGCCTTGCACTAGGTGATCGTTCTTCAATAATGTACACCGCGTCAACAAAACTTATTTAATGATGGTGATACTGCTATTCGCAATAAGAAACCGACCTTACATTAAACGAAACGACCGGTAACCTTTGTCTTGTATGATAAGAAAGCAAAATGTTGTTAACGGTGATGTCTTGTATGCGTCCGTCCTCTAATCGATCAGAAGTGAAAGAAAAAAAGCATAATTCAGCTTAACACATAAATGCAAGCTACCTTGGCAAAAAGTATTCTTCCCACTCCAAGTTCCATTTGGCTGACACCTCCTTTCTGTAGAACCATGCTGAGTGAACCCCTCGTCACATGAAAAGTGCCAAATGTTAGGATACGTGGTTTTATCTCCATACACTGAGCCATTTAGTGGAGTTGGAGGTCTACCACAATCAATCGCTGAACCATAAAACAACCAGAAAACGAATTAAAGAAACACAAAGATAAACTTAATCCATCTAAATTACAACGCTCTGAGCTGCGACAATTTTTTGTCGCCATGGCGAGTGAAAAATAAATTTTGCGACCTAAATTTGTGACTAACAGATTGAAAAAGAGAGGGAGGTTGACTTACTAAGCAAAAATACGCAATTATCTCTTGTCTATCTCCTTTTCTCTCCCGCCGTTCCTTAATTCTCACATGCGCATTAACCTAAAGTGAGCGGTGACCAAGTCAAACTGATTTTGTCGAGGTATTATTTTCAGCATTTAGCTCTAACTGGTAACTTTGCAGTACGAAGCATGGTGTTTAACCATCAACTGATTTAACATGTTGTTGACAGTATGGAAGGTTTTAATACCAATAGTTTAACTCACTTAAAATGAGATGTTTCTCTGCTGGGAAATCGACCAAAATAGCATGAATCCATTCGCAATCACTTTGTTGCAAATCATTTCTGATACCAGACTTTAAACCACTTTACCCTTTTTCTCGTGACCGTTGACACAATCCTTAAACCAGAAAGCGAGTGAACGCATCAATTTGGCAGATGAAAGGGTTGCAAACGCATCGTTCGGCTCCCTAGATACATCATGTAGTACACCATGAGATTGCCTCTCATTTATGAGGGTTTTCTTTTCCTTTAAGTGGTATAGAGGGGGAGGACTACTAAACATATTTTTAATGGCGGCCATTTTACAATTGAAGGTCGCCATAAAGGCGTTTTTTTGAAGAGATGAGCTTGGAGCCTTGTTAAATGACATTGTATATCTATAAATTCGTTTCACCTTGTTGAAAAGTAATTCTTACCACTGCAAGTGGTTTCAGTCCCATTCCATGTTCCGTTTGGTTGGCATTGTCGAACAGGTGATCCACCCATTACAAAACCAATATCACAACTAAATCGTAAGCTTTCAGGAAACACTGTACGTTCACCATGCAATGATCCATTTGTAGGACTCTTTAACTGCCCACAATCAATGGCTGCAAAAAGGAATTGTACACTAAAATTAAACTAATACATGTGCAAAAGAAGTTCAAATCCAAGTCTTTAATCTCAAACCTGCGCATATTGTTTCGTTTCCACTCCAAGTTCCATCGTTTTGGCATCTCCTGCTGTTCGGACCATCCATCAAAAACCCTTCATCACAAGTAAATGTTACCACATTGGGAAAGGTGGTCTCAGTTCCCAACATGGAACCATTCCGAGGAGTCCTAAGGAGGCCACAGTCCTTCGCTGTAAGAGATGAAAGACAACATTGTTAGCATCACGAAGTACACCAGCAAAAACCTACAACTCGTAATAAGTTCTGCTATTGCTTCTTACCAATGCACACTGTTTGTTCACCACTCCATGTCCCAGTTTCAGTACAACGTCTTATAAACGATCCGCTCAGTATAAATCCATCGTCGCAGTAAAAATGCAGTTTGTTTGGGAATGTTGTGTAATTTCCACGTACAGAGCCATTTGCAGGGGCTGCGACTTGTCCGCATTCAACAGCTTAAAATAGAAAGACATGTTATTTTCAACAAACATTTACATTGGTCGCAGAAAGCTTCAAGACAAGTAAAGGTACAGGATGTAAGCAGTCGTTCTCTATGAGAGAATTTTTTTATAATATTGACATTTTCACAATTGAGTATTTTTACCCAAAGACACGAACATACCTTAGTTTATGGTATCTTTCTACTGAATCTTTCATTTAAAATGTAAGGGTCTGTATCCATCCGTCCGTCCGACCGTTCAGTGGGAAGACTGGCTTCTCCCATAAGAGTCAACATTACAAGAATACCTACACCATTACCTAAGTCTATATTTAGTAATAGATTACAACATGCTTGTATAGAGGCGCAGATTAAAATTCTAAGTGAAAGTTATAACTTTTTTTTGGAAATGAAACCTCAAGGTTTCTTTTTTTTTCTTTCTTTGGTCTCTACTAACGATTGCAGTTTGCCAAAGAGCCACTCCAAGTTCCATTTGCCTGGCATATTCTTCTCGACGATCCCTTCAGAAAGAATCCAGCGTCACAGAAAAACCAGACACTATTGGGGTAAACAGTCATGTCGCCATGAGAGGATCCATTTCTTGGAACAGGCAAAGGGCCACAGTCAACCGCTGAAAGGAGCAGAATGACTCTAATGAATACCACATATCTAAATTAAAAACTGTTGTTGTTATCCTTGTTTGTTTGTTTCAGAGCAAATGGAACATGCCTGAGCTATTAATCTTTACGGATGTGGTATTAGTTTTATAATTCTACATATTTTCTGATAACTTTCCTAGATAGGACATCCATAGAATAACGATGAAAAAAAAAATAATCACTACGCAAATGTGGCAAAATTGACGCGAAAAAGGTGTTCTCCCAGCTACGACCAACAACTTTAAGCATTTAGTTTCGTTAATTCTTTTTTTCTTTTTTTTTGTACAATCAAACCTTTGCATGATATGTCATTTCCGCTCCATGAACCGTCGGCTAAACATTGCCTTTCTGTAGCCCCGCCCAGGATAAAGCCTTCATCGCAAGAAAACTGTAATACGTTCGGAAAATAAGTCCTGGTTCCCTTAAAACTCCCATTCACAGGCACAGCAAGTGTTCCGCAATCAATTGCTAGAAAACAGATAAGTCGAGATAAAATATAATCAACACTTGAGTACAAAACTGGGAAACTACGCGTAAGCAGTGATGTCATGACAGAACACCATTTTCTTATCAATAGCCAACAAATGCAGCAGCTCCAGCGGGAGTTCCGCTGAGTTCGCTTGGTGCGTTTAAGGCGAGATTGATGTCACTTTTTCATAAGTTCCATCTTCTGGTAGTACGTTCTTGATACATCTTGTACGTCTGCGTCTTGCAGAGTACTCAATGCTATTCAATGGTTCGATCAACTGGAAAGGAATTGTAGAAAATGTAAAAACAAACTCCACTTTACTAATAGCTGACCTTCACAGGTGGTATTGCTTCCGCTCCACAAACCAGTAGGTAAACAACTTCTCCCTGATGAGCCTCTCAAAAGAAATCCAGAATCACAAAAAAATTGTATCGAATTCGGAAAGTAGGTCAGCGATCCGTAAGAAGAACCATTGATAAGAACAGGTAGAGGTCCACAATCAACCGCTGATAGATTAAAAACATGTGTATATAGTGAATATGCATAAATACGGAAATTTGATTGAAGGCAAAAATATGATATGTCAAGATTTGCATTTAAACAGTCAGGCCAAAAGAGCAATTCCACCAACCAATAAATATATTACAGCCCTTTCGTTAAAAGTGTTCCTATTTCAATAAGCTGTAAGTTTACAATCATTCAAATCATCAACTGGGAGTTTAGAGCGCAAGATTTTGTAAGAAAAATAAAACTGGAGGACCCACAGATAATCCCACAGAGAAGGAATAAAAACAAGCATAACTAAGACCCACGGCCAATGGAATCTACATATGCACTACCTTTACTCTTTCAATATAATTGGTACGATAATGAACAGTCTTGAAAAGCTGTTTGGTTTTAAAATAAATTCCGTAATGGGCTAAAAAAGAGAATACAATTCGTACAAAATTAATTCTTCAGCTCAGTTGTCGAATAACGAAATACGTAAGGCATTTGTCGCTAATGAGAGAAAAAAGAAAACCATTTCTGCAGAGGATTTGTGAAAACTCTGTGGTGAACCAGTCATATTAAGAACAAGCCCCTTGCATACTGATAGCATCTAAGAAGGTCCCGTGTAGTATAAAAGATGGTCGCTGAATGTGAAACAAAAAATTGTTTTAAAAGTCCCTAAGAAATTGTCACGAACGTCATGGACCTACGATGTGGCCTCATCAACGAGTTCCCTGAAGCTCAATGAGCAGATCGTAAGATCGCGAAATCAGAGGGTCTGTTGTCCAAATCCTCACAGAATTTTTTTTTTGCCTTCTGCTTCTTATTCGAACACGCCTCAGATCTCTTTACCTGCACATGTTGTTTGGATGCCGCTCCAAGTTCTGTTCGCCTGGCAGAATCTTCGTGCTGAACCTCTTAACAAAAACCCCTCATCGCAGAATGATAACACCTCATTTGGATACGTGGTCAAATTTCCTAGATAGGTGCCATTTAGAAGTAAAGGCAATGGTCCACAATCAATAGCTGTGAGATATAAGAAAAGAAAACAGTAGCAAATTTAAAAAAATAATGATAATAACAAAATACAATTGCCGTGCGCAAACGGAGTGGTGTTATTGTGTCATTCACTGTTTGCCTTCAACACTGTTGGTCTCCCCGACAATATTTGTGTTGATACGATGGGTAAAATTCAACCAATATCAGTTAATTAATGAATACCTGCATTAAGAAATGTAGTCTTTTAAAGCACTCATTTCAGCCAAATGATGATAAAATATTATCGTTTCTTTTACCTTGACAAGCTGTTTGTTGTCCACTCCACATCCCGTCTGCCTCACACCTCCTGACAGTGGACCCAATCAGGTCAAAGCCGTTGTCACATGAGAATTGTAGCTTGTTTGGAAAAGTAGTTTGACTTCCAAAAACTGAACCATTCATTGGAAAAGGTAATTTTCCACAGTCTTTAGCTACAAGTGGGGAATTAATTAGTGATGGATCTTCATCTTTTTGACAAAATGAAATAATACTTATGTACACGAGAAATATGTAAACGAATTAAGGTCGGAGAAATGATGCCGAAGCCTACGACGGAAGGGAGGGGAGGGGAGGCAAGGCAAGGCAAGGCGAGTAAGGATAACTTATATGAATTTCGCGGAATGTTTTCTTCAGCTCAGTGCCCTTGTGTGTGTTTTCTTTACCTCTGCAATACGTGTTCCCTCCACTCCATGTTCCATTGGCTTGGCACCTTCTGAAATCAGATCCTTCGAGCACAAAGCCCTCGTCGCAAGAAAAATCAACTCCATTCGGGAAGGTAGTGGCAGATCCCTGCAACGTTCCATTTTGCGGAACAGCTAATTCACCGCAGTTAATAGCTAAGGACAAGAAAGTTAACAGTTATCCTACACCTTACCAACTAGCTCCACATGTTTCATTAGCAAGATTTTCCTCTAGTATTTTTCACTTCCATAAAGCGCATCCCTGAGTATTTAGTGTCGCCATTACCACAAGACAATTCCAGTAAAAAACATTAAAAAAAGGTGCAGATCTTTGGGATAAAAGTTGACCACTATCAAAGCAATTTTTACCGCAGAATATTTGACAATTTATTACACTTAAAGTACCTCTATTGTTTTACAATTTTGCGCTACAAGTACCACATTGAAATGAAACAATCACGGTTGCCGCGTTTTGTGAATCTAAGGCAGAAGTTGTCCAGAAATTACGAACTTTGTTTGTCCGTTCCAACTAATTTCCTTTTTCTTGCGTGGGATCAGGGTAGGCAATCTCGATCAGAACACAGGATTTGCTTCAAATTGCCCACGGGCACTGCCAGCAATATAATAATGGTTGTTATTAGAGACGACTGATCCGAACTTAGAACGACAGACTTGACAAGAATTGGTGAAGACGTTCTTTAACTATCCAACTCACCTTCACAGAGAGTCTCAGTTCCACTCCAAGATCCATTTGCCATGCAAACTCTTATAGAAGATCCTTGGAGGACAAATCCCTCATCGCAATTGAAGTACACCTTATTGGGATAAGTAGTAAGTTCGCCATACGTAGAACCATTCGTTGGAATCGCTAGGGAACCGCATTCAACAGCTGGAAAAATTAAAATGAAAAATTGTGAACTGTGTACTGTTACCTTTAAAAGAAGAAACATTTGGTAACAAAAAAATTGATTTCTAGTTAAGAGAGAGATTTCTGAAAAAGAAGGACAACTCATGTTTGTGGTTTAGTTGCATTTCAATACCTTTCTTACGACAATCCCTCTCGAGAAGCTGTTTGAAATTCGAACAAGTCTCTAAATATCTTTCATACAAAATTAGCAACTGAATGAGCGAACAAAGCGTGACACTGCGTCAAAAGTCCAAAGTTAAGTGAATCTATTGGAGGCTGAAAACGAACTAACCTATGTGAGTGCAAAGTCGGTTTTACTTTTAATCCCGTATTCCTTAGTTACCTTTCGACAGATACTAACAAGGTTTCTGTTCTTACCGAAAATTCTGCGAGACACGTTTTATTCATTTTATTTACCTCTACAAGTTGTTTCGTTGCCACTCCATTTGCCGTTTGCCTGACATTTTCTTGTTTGTGTCCCAATCATTATGAAGCCGACATCGCAGTAGAATGATATGACATCTGGGAAGGTAGTGTCGCTTCCAAAGGAAGATCCATTTAACGGCAATGCAAGTGGACCGCAGTCTTTGGCTAAAATTAGACGGTAATAACCAATTTTAAACATAGGCATAACTTTGGGCCCAATATTCAGTAACACTTTTAGAACATACTGATATTGGAGAAAAAGGACTTGAATTTTAAATCATCATCTGTTCTGCTAATTTTACAAGAGGGCGCCTGATCGCTTCGTGGGTCACTGTCTTTGGTTCCAATCACGAACTCGAACATTTTAAGCAAAATGGCTTTTGCTTGAGGTATATCTTCTTAGTCTCTTTGACAAAACTATTGAATAAGATATCTGCTAACGAAAAGACAAGAATGATAATTGTTACATTTTGTCCCACTAATCTGGAAGATAGACCTGTGAGGTATTCTTAACAGTTTGCATTCTTTTGGTCAAATTTGGATACCTTAGGTTTTTGGCCGGATTCAACAAAGTAAATCTGACATCGTGCTAAGCAAAAAATTCTCCAGATTTCATCAATATCATGCAATTTTTTTAAGTTCAATAACAGTCAATGCAAGGTTCAAATTCTTATCAACTCCCAATCTCCACGATCAGGACAAGCCATTTTTACCTTGACACAAAGCCTGCTGACCACTCCATATTCCAGTGGAAAGACAGTATCTTACAGAAGATCCCAAAAGTATGAAGCCTTCGTCACAAGAAAATCTTATGGAATGAGGATACGTTGTTTCCTCTCCGAATTTACTTCCATTCTGTGGCGTTTTGATGTGACCACAGTCCAGCGCTTAAAGGTAAGGCAATTGATGGTGGAGGAAGACGCCAGAAAAAGTCTACCTCGTAGCACCCCCTCTTCAGATTATAATGACATTAGATCATAATGGCCTGATACCCAGAGATCATCGCCATGTTAGTCGTAGTCACAAGTGTTGCGGGGTTAGTTTGTGACTTGCGATCAGGGACGGTGAAGTGCTTTTGGAAGTACCAAAATTTGTGTGTTCAGGAACTTTTCAGCAATATATCCGGAACTACTCAATAAATTATGTGACCTTTGAGGAACAGAAAATATCTAAGGCAAATATTTGAGTGTGTTTTCGCGCCAAATGGAGGCTATTCTGTTTATTATCCTTCCAATATTTTACAACGCGCGGGAATATTACGATCACATAATGCATTTCGACCAAATCGAGCGTGATCAAAAATGCTTCATGGATTATTATTTCGGTTGTTTACCATGGCAATGGTTGCTAAGGAAACCAAAAAAAAAGGAGAGTTTGAGAAATATATTAGAATATTCCGGAAAAAATAAATGACAGATGCTGTTCACTCGGAGAATACAGTAACACTGACCTTTCCTTATATACAAAGGCAAAAGAAATTCAGTTATGATTTGTTTGTGCGTTAAACTTCCAAGCTGCAATAGCTAAGAAATTTCAAGAGATTGGTAGAGAAGAAGGTTCAAAGATGGAAGTTTTGCTGAGGTTGCAGCGGAAAGCATTCTGTGCTCAGACCTCATGAAGGAGAAACAAGCTTTGATGTATTCAACAAAAACATCCGCACTTACAAGAAACAAATGTCATCACATCAATTCAAGTTTGTTGGGGGGCAGCCACATAAACACGGTGTTGCTTCTTCTAAAGTAATTCAGACCAGAGCGTGCAAGGCTCCAGGAGATTCATCTCGAAGGCGACAGCTTCGATTGATTGGGGCGTCAATGATTAGATTGAGGAATCAATGAGCTCTTATAAGAGCCTCAGATCGAAAAAAAGGTCGGTCGATCAGGGGTTGAATGCGCTCTGATAAAAGCTACCGATCGCAAGACGTTTGTTAATCGATCGGGGTGTCTAAGAGCTCTAATAAGAGCTATTGGTCGCAAGACATTTGTTGGTCGAACGGGGAGTCAATGAGCTCTGATAAGAGCTACGACCGCAAGACATTTGTGGGTCGATCGGGTAATCAAAGAGCTCTGATAAGAGCTACCGATCGCAAGACATTTCTTACCGATCGGGGAGTCAATGAGATTTGTTATCGATCGGGAAGTCAATGAGCTCTAATAAGAGCTCCCGATCACATGACATTTGTAGGTTGATAAGGGAGTCAAGGAGCTCTGATAAGAGCTGACGATCGCAAAACACTGGTCGGTCGATCGGGGTAGTCAATGAGCTCTGATAAGAGCTCCCGATCACAAGAAATTTGTTGGTCGATCGGGAAGTCAATAAGCTCTAATA